CTGTTTGCTTTCTGTGACCACTCTCCTAATGCCTCCTGTCAAAACCGGCTAGGACTCCCTGGCGTCCAATCCCTCTGTGTTTAATCTTCTGGCATCTCTATCTCACCTCATCAGGGAGGTGCGGAATCTGAAGAAAAGGAAGTCCCTGAGGACTCAGTGGAGGAATGTGCCGTCACTTGTTCAAATATCTATGGCCCTTCTGAGTCCAACCAGCCTCACAAGAACTCCAAAATCACATTTGGGAAGACCAAGTGGACTCGACTCTGCTTATAGACCGTGGATCATCTCCTGATGGATGGCAGGATGCTCTAAACCTTGTCCCAGGTAGCCTCTATTTTCCTTGCATCTCATACCTCTGTCTAGGCTACGGAAGATCCATTCTGAGTACAGGCGTACACGTACATATTGGTTTACTCAGAAACTAGGATGAAGCTAGGTGGGTGACTGACACATATATTCGCAGCACTTTGGGAGGCCCAAGTGGGAGGATCATTTGAATTCAGGAGTTCAAGAGCAGGCTGGACAATATGGTGAAACCCATCTTTACAAAGAATACAAAACAGTAGCCAGGCATGTTCCTTTGCCCTATAGTCCCAACTGCTCAGGAGGCTTAGGTGCGAGGATTGGCTCAGATGATCCTCCCACCCTCATTCACTTTTCTCAGGCTAGACTCTCTCTCCTTTTCATTGGCTTGTCTTAGCTGTTAATAAGAAGTCTCTGGCCAGGGTCGCTGGCTCACATCTGTAATCCCAGCACTTTGGGAGGGTGAGGTGGGCAGATCACCTGAGTCAGGAGTTCGAAAGCAGCCTGGCCAACATGGCGAAATTCCATCTCTACTAAAAATAAAAAAATAGCTGGCATGGTGGTTTTGCCTGTAATCCCAGCTACTTGGGAAGCTGAGCACGAAAATCACTTGAACCCAGGAGGTAGAGGTTGCAGTGAGCTGAGATCGTGCCACTGCACTCCAGCCTGGGCGACAGAGTGAGACTCCCTCTCAAACAAAACATAAAAAACCAAAACCAACCAACCAGTCAAACGAAAAATTTAATGAAACAAAAAACAATCTCTTGAGCTACACAGAAACATTGGCCTCTCATGGAGTAAAAAGCTCAGAGCCCAGCCTTGCTTTATGGAAACTTCTAAGCAAGAAAAGGGTGGAAGTGTTTGTGTCCTGATTTCAAGGTGACTGCGTAGCTCAGACACGTTGACTTAAAGGAGATCAAGAGTGGAGATGAGAAGAGTGAAACCAGGGAAACAGCATCTTCAAATCAGTGGACGAGGCTGTCAGTGACATCCCTCAGTCCTGATTCAACCTATTTGATTTCACCAGTTATGAACCCATCATGTGTTTGGATTTTTTCTCCCCAGTCCCTGACTCCACCTCTTCTACCACAAACATCAGCATGGTGGCATCTGCTTGTCCTTGGCCAAGTGAGAAGTCAGAGATGAACACTCCAGAAATCAACGAGAAACTGCGCCCACAGTTGGGAGAAAAGAAAGAACAGTTTAGAAACACTAGAGAGAAATTTCTTGTAACTCAAGTGGCCTACGTCCTGGCCAACCAGCAGAACAGTTATAGTAAGTTCTATAGGCTCACCATCACAAAAGTGATGATGTCCTGTCTTCTCTCTGAGAAACTGAATTCTCTCTCCATCAAAAATAATTTAATCCTTCCTTACTTCTAGGAAAATAGAAATGGGTATTTTCACATTTTGTTAAAGTTGGAAGACAGAAGTACCAAAGTATTTCGTAACTTTCCATGTTTGCAGTCAGGTGGGGATGAGCCTAGAGGTAAAATCTCAGTGATGGTTTCAGACACAGGCACAGAATGACCTGTTTTCTCCAAGAGGCTAAATCATGTTTTCAAGAATCCTCTCTGTACCATATAAGATCTGGCAGACAAATAACATCAAGTCTGTTGTTCTAAATGTCTGGGCTAGTGAATTTTATTCAGTTCAAGCTTCTGTTGAGGCCCAATAGCCAAGCTCTGTTCTAGGGACCCTGAGGGAAATTTGGTGATAGTACACAGTACCCGCTGTGAGGGCGTCAAGGAGAGTCTGCTCCTAATAGAACCTGTGATATCTATAACCGACAGCATCAAGAGCAGGGAGTAGGGGCCGTGCGAGGTGGCTCAGTCCTGTAATCCAGCACTTTGGGAGGCTGAGGCAGCTGGGATGACGAGTCAGGAGTTTGATTCCATCCTGGGCAACGTGGAGAGACCCGTCTCTACTAAAATTAGAAAAATTAGCTGGGGTGTGGTGCGGGCGCCTGTAATCCAGGCTACTCGGGAGGCTGAGTCCAGAGAATCCTTGAACCCAGGGCAGAGGTTGCAGTGAGCCAAGATCATGCCATTGTACTTCAGCCTGGGCGACAGGGCAAGACTCATCAAAAAGAAACAAACAAAAAAGGCAGAGGAGTAGCCTGGTGGGAGGGAAGTCCTGTTTCTTGGGGGCACAGGCTTTTGTTCCTAAAGAGGAAGAAAGATGTACCCAAGAATGTGTGGAAGTAGCAGTGCAGTGTGCAGAGCAGGAACCCTGGGCTGTCTCCTGGGCTCCATCCAAGTTGCTTGTCCTGTGTGTCCGTCAGTTTCCTCATCTATTCATAGGGTGCTACAGTAATACTTACCTCTGTAAATTGCTGCAGTGAGTTACATGAGCTATTTCTATCAATCTCCTAGAACATTTATGGGCACAGAGTAAACACTATTAGTTCTTCATTCTACTGTTTGTAAATTAACACAAACTTTGTTAGTATTTGGGCATGTTTCCTTCATAGTCTTGTGGTCTTATGTCTCATACTTTATGTTTCTGTTATGATTCTTAAAATCATATCTGCAGTTATGATTTAAAAATCAAAGACTTTTAAGATCTTTGACATAGTTGTCCTTGAAATTCCCATTAAAAGGGAAACCATCAGTCCCATAGTCCTAGGGGCCTTCCCAATTGTCCGAGAAATCTCTACTTCATGCCCCAGTGCAGTGTTTTGGAGGAGAGGCTGCAAGGCTTGGGAAAGTGGCCCTGCATGCAGAGTCACACCTCAGGGGCTGTGAATTCTGACTCCACTTCATTGTGGTTGAATCATCTTGTCAACTTCCTTGATGTGCCCTTGAGTTTCGGTTTGTTTGTCTCTAAATTTTGGAGGATGAGATGCCAGAAAGTCAGGAGACTCAAGAGTAAAGAGGTGGAAATCCCTGCCTGGAGCCTGGTATTGGGGACAGTTATGTCCTTGGGATGGACCTGGCTCCTGCCCTGTAGGCAGTGACCTCAGCAGCATGTCCAGTCTTTCACTGAGGCCAGTGTGTCTGTCTTTTCTCAGACTATGAAGAGTGCAAAGACCTCCTAAAATCTATGCTGAGGGATGAGCTTCAGTTGAAGGAGGAGAAGCTTGCAGAGCAGCTCGGGCAAGCTGAAGAGCTCAGGTGAGGGGGCCCTATGCAGGCAGGTGGGCAGGTGTGTAAATCTCAGACGTTATAGCAGCTCGGAGGGTAGAAGTAAGAGCCAAGCTGGGCCAGGGGAAGGGCAGGAATTGCTATGGCATGGTCACAATACACAAAGGTTTGTGAAACAGAGAACAAGGACAGTAGTAAGTTATGGGTTGCAGTTGTTTCTCAGAGCCCCGTTTTCTCTTTTTGAAAGAAGTAATTGTTGAGGTGAAATTTGCATAAGACATGATTAACCAAAGGAGTGGGAACAACCCAGCAGCATTCAGTGTACTCAAAATGGTGTGCCATCACCACCCCATTACCCATAGTCGGAATCACCTCCTGACTGACTGCGGCATCTTATCTTTGACCCAATCAATGTTGCCTTCTGGAGCCTGTCATTCTTTTCTTGTTTAATCTTTTCAATTGGCCCCGTCTGCACTTGGCCGCATTTCTGTATATGGTTTTGTATGTAGTCACTGGAAGATAGACTATGTGTATTTTCACATGGAAATGTCCATTGCCAGAGTGAGGAGCTGAAAGGATGTCTTTTTGAAACTGAATAAGGAAGACACCTAATTTTTTTAGAGAAAGGAAAGATGAATGGAACATCGTCGAGGATCTTACAGGAGCCCTCTCTGATATAGAGGAAGCCTGTAAACCATTTTTCCTTCTTTCTCTTGGCCACAGACATTTCTTTAAACGTGTGCTGACCTTCTCCTTGGAGGTCTCTTGAGGACAGTGTCTCAGAAATCTCTGTCGCAATATTCGAACAGATCACTCACCCCTTTCCACTGTTCAATTTTCTCTACTATCTCACCTTAGGCAATATAAAGTCCTGGTTCAGTCTCAGGAACGAGAGCTGAGCCAGTTAAGGGAGAAGTTCCAGGAAGGAAGAAATGCCTCCCGCGCATTGAATCAGCATCTCCAGGCCCTCCTCACTCCGGATGAGCCGGCCAACTCCCAGGGGCGGGACCTCCGAGAACAGCTGGCCGAAGGCTGTAGGCTGGCACAGCACCTCGTCCGAAAGCTCACCACAGGTAAGGTTTCCATAGGACCTGGAGACCCAAAACACCAGGCTTATGAGAGACTCCCGACCTCCATACTTTCACAATGTTGTATCATTGGTATTTTTTTCCACTAAACATATGTGGCCCTTCCAGGACTTCCTGTGTGATATCAGAGATGGGAAACCCATGGGTTTGGAGGTCACAGTATTGCAAATGTCCCTCCGTCCTTGGTGGAGATGGTCTTTGGCGCAAGAGGCAGCATCTCTCTAGTGGTAAAGGAGAGGAAGGAGGCTGTGACAGGAGGGTTCTTGTTAGAGTGAAAAGAGCTGTGGACTTAGAATGAAGGTTCCCAGGCTGTCTCTTTGGCAATGTTCTTAGTAAGTGTCGGTGAATGAGTAATTTATCCTTCTTGAGTTTCTCTGTGTCCATCGGAAAAGGCAGGAAAATTGTCTCTTGCAAGGGTCTGAAGCATCTAAATGTGGGAACACTTGTGACTGCTTTTGAAAATGAGATAAAGCCCCTCGCCATGTGGTGTTGGAGAAGGCACTTCACGTGGGGGTATTTGGTTGTAGGAAGTGCTTCAGACTGGAGCACTCCCCATGGAGAGCATGTCCCTGAATAACACAGCAGAAGCCACATGGAGGGCCTGTGAAGTCTCCTGAGGCATAGAGGACTGTCGGGCAAGTTTGTCCGCTCCAAAGGGAAAGAATTAGGTTCCAAATGCGAACTGTGACACAACACCAAGTCTGTACCTGGGAATCAGATCTGTGGCGGGATGCGGGAGACAGCTGCCAAAGTCCAGAGAGAGGCTGCACAAGTCCCCAGTGATATGCGGAGCAAAGGGTCTTTTCAATATTTGGTGACATCTTGATGGTGGCCCTCCAGATCAGAAATGCATTGCCTGATGGATCAGGAAACCATGCCAGGGTATTTTGTTAAAGATAAAACATGAGAGCTTTCAGTTTAACAGTGTCCCATGCCTAGATGTCCATGTCTCTGTGCACATTGGACTGACTGTGCCTGCAGAGTGTGAAGTGGGAAATATCTGAACGAACACTTCTGTATTTACAGAAAATGATGAAGATGAGGATGAAGATGTTAAAGTTGATGACACTGAGTAAGTACAGGAATCATGTGCCCCAGGTAACACTGAATAATCAGGTGCAAGTAATGGGTTTTAATATATGAAAAAGATCTAGGAGGCACACCCTGTCTCTGGCACCTGCAATGGGCCACAAGCCTGTATTCCCTTGGCCACAGTATGAGAAATTCAACCCAGCTTAGACACAGGGTGTGGCAGCTGTTGTGTTTCTCTGTGTGTGGTGAGTGTCATATCTGTACCGAACAGGGATAGCTGAGTCTTCATCTTTCTCTGCTCCTATCTCTCCAGTGAAATGAACACCGGTTGGTCTCTTCCTCTCTGTCTCCCATGGCCGCCATGCTCTGTTGCAGAGAGAGGAGGAATGCCTGTTTCCTCCTAAAGGGAACCTCCTGTTTGCTTTCTGTGACCACTGTCTTAATGCTTCCCGTCAAAACCTGCTAGGTCTCCCTGGGGTCCAATCCCTCTGTATTTAATCTTCTGGCATCTCTATCTCACCTCATCAGGGAGGTGCGGAAGGCAGAAGAAAAGGAAGTCCCTGAGGACTCAGTGGAAGAATGTGTCATCACTTGTTCAAATAGCTATGGCCCTTCTGAGTCCAATCAGCCTCACAAGAACTCCAAAGTCACATTTGAGGAAGACCAAATGGACTTGACTCTGCTTATAGACCGTGAATCGTCTCCTGATGTACGGCAGGATGCTCTAAACCTTGTCGCAGGTAGCCTCTATTTTCCTTGTGTCTCATACCTCTGTCTAGACTACGGAAGATCCATTGTGAGGACAGGCTATATACGTACATATTGGTTTACTCAGCAACTAGGATGGAGCTAGGTGCGGTGACTCACACATATATTCGCAGCACTTTGGGAGGCCCAAGTGGCAGAATCATTTGAATTCAGGAGTTCAAGAGCAGGCTGGATAATATGGTGAAACCCATCTTTACAATGAATACAAAACATTAGCCAGGCATGTTCCTTTGCCCTTAGAGTCCCATCTGCTCAGGAGGCTTAGGTGCGAGGATTGGCTCAGATGATCCTCCCACCCTCATTCACTTTTCTCAGGCTAGACTCTCTCTCCTTTTCATTGGCTTGTCTTAGTTATTAATAAGAAGTCTCTGGCCAGGGTCGCTGGGCTCACATTTGTAATCCCAGCACTTTGGGAGGACACGGTGGGCGGATCACCTGAGGTCAGGAGTTCGAAAGCAGCCTGGCCAACATGGCGAAATTGCATCTCTACTAAAAATACAAAAAATAGCTGGCATGGTGGTTGGTGCCTGTAATCCCAGCTACTTGGGAGGCTGATGCATGGGAATCACTTGAACCCAGGAGGCAAAGGTTGCAGTGAGCTGAGATCGTGCCACCAGCCTGGGCGACACAGTGAGACTCCCTCTCAAACAAAACATAAAAAACCAAAACCAACCAAGCAATCAAACAAAAAAATTAACGAAACAAAAAACAATCTCTTGAGCTACACAGAAACATTGGCCACTCATGGGGTAAAAAGCTCAGAGCCCAGCCTTGCTTTATAGAAACTTCTAAGCAAGAAAAAAGTGGAACTGTTGGTGTCCTGGTTTCAAGGTGACTGCGTAGCTCAGACAAGTTGACTTAAAGGAGATCAAGAGTGGAGATGAGAAGAGTGAAACCAGGGAAACAGCATCTTCAAATCAGTGGACAAGGCTGTCAGTGACATCCCTCAATCCTGATTCAACCTATTTGATTTCACCAGTTATTAATCCATCATGTGTTTGGATTTTTTCTCCCCAGTCCCTGGCTCCACCTCTTCTACCACAAACGTCAGCATGGTGGTATCTGCGGGCCCTTGGTCCAGTGAGAAGTCAGAGATGAATACTCTAGAAATCAATGAGAAACTGCGCCCTCAGCAGGCAGAGAACAAACGTCACTTCATAAACACCAAGGAGAAATATCTTGTAACTCAAGTGGCCTACTTTCTGGCCAAGGGGCAGAACAGTTACAGTAAGTTCCCTAAGCTCACCATCACAAAAGTGATGATGTCCTGTCTTCTCTCTGAGAAACGGAATTCTCTCTGCATCAGAAGTAATGTAATACTTTCCGTACTTGTAGGAAAATAGAAATGGGTATTTTCACCTTTTGTTAAAGTTGGAAGAGAGAGGTACCAAAGTATTTCAAAACTTTCCATGTTTGCAGTCAGGTGGGGATGGGCCTAGAGGTAAAATCTCAGTATGGTTTCAGACACAGGCACAGAATGACCTGTTTTCTCCAAGAGGCTAAATCATGTTTTCAAGAATCCTCTCTGTACCATATAAGATCTGGCAGACAAATAACATCTAGTCTGTTGTTCTAAATGTCTCGGGCTAGTGAACTTTTATTCAGTTCAAGCTTCTGTTGAGGCCCAATAGGCAAATCTCTGTTAGGGACCCTGAGGGAAATTTGTTGACAGTACACAGTACCCGCTGTGAGGGGCGTCAAGAGGAGTCTGCTCCTAATAGAAACTGTGGTATCCATAACCGACAGTATCAAGAGCAGGGAGTAGGGGCCGTGCAAGGTGGCTCAGTCCTGTAATCCCAGCACTTTGGGAGGCTGAGGCAGCTGGATCACGAGGTCAGGAGTTTGAGACCAGCCTGGGCAACATGGAGAAACCCCATCTCTACTAAAATTACAAAAATTAACGGGGCGTGGTGGTGGGCACCTGTAATCCCAGCTACTTGGGAGGCTGAGGCAGGAGAATCCTTTGAACCCAGGGCAGAGGTTGCAGTGAGTCAAGATCACACCATTTCACTCCAGCCTGGGCGACAGGAGAAGACTCCTCAAAGAATAAACAAAAATGCAGAGAGTACCCTGGTGTGAGGGAAGTCGTACTTCCTGGGGGAAGAGGCTTTTGTTCCTATAGAAGAAGAAAGATCGCACCCGAGAATGTGTGGAAGTAGCAGTGCAGTGTGCAGAGCAGGAACCCCTGGGCCTGTCACCTGGGCTCCATCCAAGTAGCTTGTCCTGTCTGTCCCTCAGTTTCTCTTTCTTTCTCTCTAAATTTTGGAGGTTGAGATGCCATAAAGTCGGGAGACTGAAGAGTAAAGTGGTGGAAATCCCTGCCTAGAGCCTGGTACTGGGGACAATTATATCCTTTGGATGGACCTGGCTCCTGCCCTGTAGGCAGTGACCACCGCTGTGTGTCCAGCTTTTCACTGAGGCCGGTGTGTCTGTCTTTTCTCAGACTATGAAGAGTGCAAAGACCTCCTAAAATCTATGCTGTGGGATGAGCTTCAGTTGAAGGAGGAGAAGCTTGCAGAGCAGCTCGGGCAAGCTGAGGAGCTCAGGTGAGGGGGCCCTATGCAGGCAGGTGGGCAGGTGTGTAAATCTCTGATGTACAGCCACTCCTCTGGGTGAAGTAAGAGCTAACCTGGGTCTGGGGAAGGGCAGGAATTGCCATGGCAGGCTTACAACACACAAAGATTTATGAAACAGAGAACAAGGATAATAATAAGTTAAGGGTTGTAGTTGTTTCTCAGAGCCTTGATTTCTCTTTTTGAAAGAAGTAATTGTTGAGGTGAGATTTGCATAATACAAAATTAACTAAAGGAGTGGGAACCACCCAGCAGCATTGAGTGTACTCAAAATGGTGCGCCATCACCACCCCACTTACCCTTAGTCAGAATCACCTCCTGACTGACTGCGGCTTCTCATCCTTTCGGTCAATCAGTGTTGCCTTCTGGAGCCTGTCATTCTTTCCTTCTTTCATCTTTTCAACTGGCCCGTCTGCACGTGGCCTCATTTCTGTCCATGGCTTTGCATCTTGTGACTGCAAGATGCACTATGTGTATTTTCACATGGAAATGTCCATGGCCAGAGTGAGGAACTGGAAGAATGAATGTCTTTTTGAAAGTAAGGAACACACCTACTTTTGTTTAGAGAAGGGAAAGATGAATGGAACATCATCGAGGATCTTACAGGAGCCCTCTCTGGTATAGAGAAAGCCTGTAAACTATTTTTCATTCTTACTCTTGGCCACAGACATTTCTTTAAACATGTGCTGATCTTCTCCTTGGAGGTCTCCTTGAGAACATTGTCTCAGAAATCTCTGTAGCAATATTCGAACTGATCACTCACTCCTTTCCACTGTTCAATTTTCTCTACTATCTCACCTTAGGCAATATAAAGTCCTGGTTCAGTCTCAGGAACGAGAGCTGAGCCAGTTAAGGGAGAAGTTCCAGGAAGGAAGAAATGCCTCCCGCGCATTGAATCAGCATCTCCAGGCCCTCCTCACTCCGGATGAGCCGGCCAACTCCCAGGGGCGGGACCTCCGAGAACAGCTGGCCGAAGGCTGTAGGCTGGCACAGCACCTCGTCCGAAAGCTCACCACAGGTAAGGTTTCCATAGGACCTGGAGACCCAAAACACCAGGCTTATGAGAGACTCCCGACCTCCATACTTTCACAATGTTGTATCATTGGTATTTTTTTCCACTAAACATATGTGGCCCTTCCAGGACTTCCTGTGTGATATCAGAGATGGGAAACCCATGGGTTTGGAGGTCACAGTATTGCAAATGTCCCTCCGTCCTTGGTGGAGATGGTCTTTGGCGCAAGAGGCAGCATCTCTCTAGTGGTAAAGGAGAGGAAGGAGGCTGTGACAGGAGGGTTCTTGTTAGAGTGAAAAGAGCTGTGGACTTAGAATGAAGGTTCCCAGGCTGTCTCTTTGGCAATGTTCTTAGTAACTGTCAGTGAGTGAGTGATTTATCTTTCTTGAGTTTCTCTCTCTCCATCAGAAAAGGCAGGCATATTGTCTCTTGCAACGCTGTGAAGCATCTCAATGTGGGAACACTTACGACTGCTTTTGAAAATGAGATAAAGCCCCTCGGCATGTGGTGTTGGAGAAGGCACTTGATGTGGGGGCATTTGGTGGTAGGAAGTGCTTCAGACTGGAGCACTCCCCATGGAGAGCATGTCCCTGAATAACACAGCAGAAGCCACATGGAAGGCCTGTGAAGTCTCCTGATGCATAGACGACTGTGGGGCCAGTTTGTCCTCTCCTAAGAGAAAGAATTAGGTTTGAAATGTGAACTATGACGGGACACCAAGCCTGTGCCTGGGAATCAGATTTGTGGTGGGATGATGGAGACAGCTGCAAAGTCCCGAGGGAGGCTGCACAAGTCCCCAGTGATATGGGGAGCAAAGGGTCTTTTCAATATTTGGCCACATCTTGATGGTGGCCCTCCAGATCAGAAATGCATTGCCTGATGGATCAGAAAACCATGCCAGGGCATTTTGTTAAAGATAAAACATGAGAGCTTTCAATTGAACGGTGACCCATGCCTAGATGTCCATGTCTGTGTGCACAATGGGCTGACTGTACCTGCAGAATGTGAAGTGGGAAATATCTGAATGAACACTTCTGTATTTACAGAAAACGGTGAAGATGAGGATGAAGATGTGAACGTTGAGGAAACTGAGAAAGTACAGGAATCATGTGCCCCCAGGTAACACTGAAAAATCAGGAGCAAGTAATGGGTTTTAACATAGGAAAAAGATCTAGGAGGCACACCGTCTGGCATCTAGGATGGGCCAAAAGCCTGCATTCCTTTGGCCACAGTATGTGAAATTCAACCCAGCTTAGACACAGGGTGTGGCAGCTGTTGTGTTTCTCTGTGTGTGGTGAGTGTCATATCTGTACCGAACAGGGATAGCTGAGTCTTCATCTTTCTCAGCTCCTGTCTCTCCAGTGAAATGAACACCGGTTGGTCTCTTCCTCTCTGTCTGCCATGGCAGCCATGCTCTGTTGCAGAGAGAAGACGATTGCCTATTCCCTCTTAAAGGGAACCTCCTGTTTGCTTTCTGTGACCACAGTCTTAATGCCTTCTGTGAAAACCAGCTAGGGCTCCCTGGGGTCCGATCCCTCTGTGTTTAATCTTCTGACATCTCTCTCCCACCTGGCTCATCAGGGAGGTGCAGAAGGCTGAAGAGAAGGAAGAACCTGAGGACTCACTGGAGGAATATTCCATCGCTTGTTCAAATAGCCACGGTCCTTGTGAGTCCCACCAGCCTCACAGCAACACCAAAATCACATTTGAGGAAGACCAAGTCAACTCACGTCTCATTGACTCATCCTCTCATGATGAATGGGAGGATGCTGTATCCATTATCCCAGGTAGCCTCTATTTTCCTTGTGTCTCATTCCTCTTTCTGTGCTGAGGAAGTATAACCCCGAAGACAGACTCTATACACACAAATTGGTTTACATAAAAATCTGCGATGGGATTCTAAACCCAGATATCAGGGAGGTTTTCTGTCCTTCTCAGCTCATGTCATGCCTTTGTCTCCCGGTCCCCAGTGTGAAGTTACTGGACCCCAGGCAAGTGTGACAACCTCAAGTGTGCAGGAGGTGCATGGGAAGTAACTGTGAGGCTTCCTAGCTTCGATTCAGTATCTCTTGTCACCTGTGATTAAGTCATGTGTCCTTGAACAATGTCCATGGAGTTTCTATGCCTTTTGAAGGAGACTAGCAGCCTTGCCTTTGTTTTGGATATATTGCTCCCCAGGCTTCACTACTCTCAGCTTTAATCTTGATCTCTTTTAAGTCAGCTTGGTTAGCTGCACAGTCCCATTGAAATGTGGACGGAAACTTTTCTTGTTTAGTTTGCTGATACAGTTCCATAAAGCAAGGCTGGACCCTGGTTCTCCACCCCATCAATGCAATAGCTGATCCAATGTTTCTTTGTCGCATCATAGATTGTTGTTGTTGGTGGCGGTGGTGGTTTTTTTTTGGCGATGGAGTCTTGCTCAACCACGGTGGAGTGCAGTGGCACCATCTTGGCTTGATGCAACCTCCGCCTCCCAGATTCAAGTGATTCTCCTGCCTCAGCATCTTGAGTAGCTGGTACCACAGGTACACACAACCACATCTGGCTAATTTTTGTATTTTTCGTAGAGATGGGGTTTCCCCATATTGGCCAGGTTCATCTTGAACTCATGACCTCAAATGATTCACCTGCCTTGGCCTCCTGAATCACAGATTCTTTTTAAAGCAAGAGTTGTTAGAATGCGTCTATCAGTTGAGTTTCATGTACAGATGCCTCTGAACATTTAATGTCCATGGTACCTGATGATATAAGTCAGTATTGCAGCAACACTCCTAGAAAATTGTTCGACTAATTTTTGGAGATTTTGGGGGGAAAATTTTATTTTCTTTGCATAGACGCAGGCAGGGAATATGGCATTATAGTCTACCCACAGAGGGAAATTTTGGCCTGTGGGACTGGAAAGCAGGGTCATCTACTTCTCACCAGACTTAATCTAGACCACCCTAGAATATTCATGTCAGAATCCATGTTCTTGCTCTGAGAATAGTTGGGTCCTTGTGCTATGACTGGACAGTGATTTGGTCATATGTGAAGTGTGAATTGCTTAATGTGACCTGCTTCTCTGAATGTATTTACAGAAAATGAAAGTGATCATGAAGAAGAGGAAGAAAAAGGGCCAGTGTCTCCCAGGTAATGCTGTGGAATTGTGAGCTGTGAATTCAGTAGTGACATCTGGAGATTGTAGATTTCGGGAAAATGAGGAAGCGATGAATAGACCTCTTTCTTTCATTCACTCAGCTACAAATTGTCCTTATTAACAATGTTGTGCATTATTTGTGGCACTTGTATTGGTTTTAATTTCATAGTCCTCTCAAGATAAGTACTTGCAATCAGTTGAGCCAGGTGAACTAGCCAAAGAGGGATATCTTGTTCATCTTTTCAAAAAACCAGCTCCTGGATTCATTGAGTTTTTTTTTTTTTTTTGAGATGGAGTCTCGCTCTATCACCCAGGCTGGAGTGCAGTGGCCGGATCTCAGCTCACTGCAAGCTCTGCTTCCTGGGTTTACACCATTCTCCTGCCTCAGCCTCCCGAGTAGCTGGAACTACAGGCGCCCGCCACCTCTCCCAGCTAGTTCTTTATATTTTTTAGTAGAGACCGGGTTTCACCGTGTTAGCCAGGATGGTCTCGATCTCCTGACCTCATGATCTGCCCGTCTCGGCCTCCCAAAGTGCTGGGATTACAGGCTTGAGCCACCATGCCTGGCCCATTGATTTTTTTGAAGGATTTTTTGTGTCTCTGTCTCCTTCAGTTCTGCTCTGATCTTACTTATTTCTTGCCTTGTGCTAGCTTTTGAATTTGTTTGCTCTTGCTTCTCTAGTTGTTTTAATTGCGATTTTAGGGTGTTGATTTTAGATCTTTCCTTTCTCTTGTGGGCATTTAGTGCTAGAAATTTCCCTCTCCATACTGCTTTAAATGTGTCCCAGAGATTCTGGTATGTTGTGTCGTTGTTCTCAATGGTTTCAAAGAACATCTTTATTTCTGCCTTCATTTCATTATTTACCCAGTAGTCATTCAGGAGCAGGTTGTTCAGTTTCCATGCAGTTGTTCAGTTTTGAGTGGGTTTCTTAATCCTGAGCTCTAATTTGATTGCACTGTGTTCTGAGAGACAGTTTGTTGTGATTTCTGTTGTTTTACATTTGCTGAGGAGTGCTTGACTTCCAACTATGTGGTCAATTTTGGAATAAGTGTGATGCGATGCTGAGAAGAATGTATATTCCGTTGATTTTGGGTGGAGAGTTCTGTAGATGTCTGTTAGGTCTGCTTGGTGCAGAGCTGAGTTTGCGTTCTGGATATCCTTGTTAGCATTCTGTCTCATTGATGTGTGTTAATATTGACAGTGGGGTGTTAAAGTGTCCCATTATTGTTGTCTGGGAGTCTAAGTGTCTTTTTAGGTCTCTCAGGAGTTGCTTTATGAATCTAGGTGCTCCTGTATTGGGTGCATATATCTTTAGGATAGTTAGCTCTTCTTGTCGAATCGATCCCTTTACCATTATATAATGGTCTTCTTTGTCTCTTTGGATCTTTGATGGTTTAAAGTCTGTTTTGTCAGAGACTAGGATTGCAACCCCTGCTTTTTTTGCTTTCCATTTGCTTGGTAGGTGTTCCTCCATCCCTTCATTTTGAGCCTATGTGTGTCTCTGCACGTGAGATGCATCTCCTGAACACAGCACACTGATGGGTCTTGACTGTTTATCCAATTTTCCAGTCTGTGTCTTTTAATTGGGGCATTTAGCCCATTGACATTGAAGGTGAATATTGTCATGTGTGAATCTGATCCTGTCATTAAGATGTTAGCTGGTTATTTTGCCTGTTAGTTGATGCAGTTTCTTCCTAGCATCGATGGTCTTTACAATTTGACATGTTTTTGCAGTGGCTTGTACTGGTTATTCCTTTCCGTGTTTAGTGCTTCCTTCAGGAGCTCTTGTAAGGCAGGCCTGGTGGTGACAAAATCTCTCAGCATTTGATTGTGTGTGAAGGATTTGATTTCTCTTTCACTTATGAAGCTTAGGTTGGGTGGATATGAGATTCCGGGTTGAAAATTCTTTTCTTTAAGAATGTTAAGTATTGGCCCCCACTGTCTTCTGGCTTGTAGAGTTTGTGCAGACAGATGTGCTGTTAATCTGATGGGCTCCCCTTTGTGGGTAACCCGACCTTTCTCTCTGGCTGCCCTTACCATTTTTTCCTTCATTTCCACCTTGGTAAATCTGACAATTATGTTTCTTGGGGTTACTCTTCTGGAGGAGTATCTTTATGGTGTTCTCTGTATTTCCTGAATTTGAATGTTGGCCTGCCTTGCTAGGTTGGGGAAGTTCTCCCGGGTAATATCCTGAAGAGTGTTTTCCAGCTTGGTTCCATTCTCCCCATCACTTTCAGGTACACCGATCAAATGTAGATTTGTTCTTTTCACATAGTCCCATATTGCTTGGCAGCTTTGTTTGTTTCTTTTTACTCTTTTTTCTCTAAACTTTTCTTCTCACTTCATTTCCTTAATTTGATCTTCAATCACTGATACCCTTTCTTCCACTTGATCGAATCAGCTACTGAAGCTTGTGCATGTATCATGTAGTTCTCATGCCATGGTTTTCAGCTCCATCAGGTCATTTAAGGTCTTCTCTACACTGTTTATTGTAGTTAGCCATTCGTCTAATCTTTTTTCAAGGTTTGTAGCTTCCTTGCGATGTTTTCGCACATCCTCCTTTAACTCCGAGAAGTTTGTTATTACCAAGTTTCTGAAGCCTACTTCAGTCATCTCGTCAAAGTCATTCTCTGCCCTTTTTTGTTCCGTTGCTGGCGAGGATCTCTGATCCTTGGGAGGAGAAGGGGCGCTGTGGTTTTTAAAATTTTCAGCTTTTCTGCTCCGGTTTCTCCACCTCTTTGTGGTTTTATCTCCCTTTGGTCTTTGATGCTGGTGACCTATAGATGGGGTTTTGGAGTGGATGTCCTTTTTGTTGAAGTGGATGCTATTCCTTTCTGTTTGTTAGTTTTCTTGTTAACAGTGAGGTCCCTCAGCTGCAGGTCTGGTGGAGTTTGCTGGAGGTCCACTCCAGACCCTCAAACAGGGATTTCTTGGTGTCACCTGTTCTGTCCCCTGCGTTTAAATCCAGGGAGAGAATGTACATATGCTTTCTGCTTATGTTTTGTTAGTATGTTTTCCAGTATTTGTGCAAGAAAAGAAACTGAAAAAACATATTCTATCAAAATATTGGGAAAATGGGGCCCTTAGCACACAAGATCTGTGTCTGCACTGCCTCAAGAGCTCTGTTCACTTGAATGCTGTATGGAAAATTCAACGCAATTTATGCAAAGTAGTTGAAATCTTGTGTTAGTGTCTGTGCTGCAAGTCATGAGGGTAGTTTACAGGGAGAGTCGGGGTGCCCTACATTGGCTCATCTGTGGCAAGTGTACTGAGCACGTGCAGCCCATTTTTGTTCATTCCCCAGGGCAGTCACCCTCTGCCCTGCATTTAGAAGAATATTTTTATTTCCGTTGAAGGAAAACTGGCTTTGGTTTCTGTGACCTCTCCATTCTGCCTCCCATCAGATCATCTGGGAGGTTTTGTTGCCTAATCTCTGTCGGTTAAATCTTCTGTCATCCCTGTCCTGCCTGTGTCATCAGGAATCTGCAGGAGTCTGAAGAGGAGGAAGCTCTCCAGGAATCCTGGGATGAAGGTTATTCGACTCCCTCAATTCCTCCTGACATGTCTGCCTCATACCAGTCTTACAGCAGCACCTTTCACTCATTAGAGGAACCACAAGTCGACTTGGCTCTTGACGTGGGCAGTGAGTACTCCATTGTGAAGGTGATAAAGCTCCAGTTCATGTCCCAAGTAGACCCCTGTAATCTTGGGGCTTTCCGCCCCTGGTTGGGCTGAGAGTTGCCATCACTGTGGGTTTAACCTATATATCAATGTAGATTTCAATCACTCTGGAGTCGAGTCTGAAGTACAGGCATGGCGTGGTTCAGTGAGCTGTAATATCTTCCTAGTCTCAGGCCATGCCAGTGCCACCCTAGACTGACTGTCAGGACATGGAACTCAAGGCAGGTGTGGCAAACTCACACCAAGCCATGCAGCACATGCCCAGGTGTTGTCTGTCAGATCAGTTCATGTGAATTAAATGTGTCTTGTCAGCTACAAAGTTCCTCATAAGTTTTGTTCCCAAAGCATGTCTGTGCGGTTCTTTACCTGCCCGAGGCCAGTGTCACCCTTGTCTACCTCTGAATCGGAGATGTGACCCAGGTTTCAGTGAATTTATCCCCATTTTCTGTGTCTTCTCAGTTGGCTTGTTTTAGCTCATCTGTCCATCGTCTTGCTGGTGTGTTTTCTAGATAAATGACTGACTTTTCACCCACAAAAGCCATATAATAGCTGATGCTTCTGTGTCGAACCAAGTCTCGTTGTAACAAGAGCTGGAATATTACACCCCTACATGAAATCTCAGTGTCCACAATCTCATAAACTATCAAATCCTGGGTATTTGATGTGAGAAACCTGAATATTGCAGTATCTCTCCTACGAGGTGTTAGAAGTATTTGCCTAGAATCTATTGGGAAAGTCATTGCTCATTTGTGTACACAAACCTAGGACAGATCACATTGGGAAGATAACATTCCAAAACAGGAGAATTTTGCCCAAGGCTCATGAAAGGAACCAAGTCAGTTCTCTCAAGACTTGACCTCATGCCTCTGGTTATGTTTCTCTCAAAGTCTTCTGTTCCCACACTGAGAAGACTGATGTCCCTGTGTTAGGATTGGACAGAGGAATGTTTCTGTGTGCAAGGAAGAACTGCTTCCTGTAAGAGGCCCCATCTGAATTTATTTGCAGGACATTGGTGTGATGAAGTGAAAAAGGAGGACCAAGAGGCCACAGGTCCCAGGTGAGTCTGAGAAATTGTGGACAGTTCATTTGCTGTTGACACCTAGAGACGCCAAGTGCAGGGAAAACAGTACATGCTGAAAAGAGTGACTTTGCCTTAGCAGACAAGTCTGAATTATGCCTACTAATATTGCTTTTGGTTTTCATTACAGTAAATATTTAGGTTTCCATTTTTTCCTACCCTTATCATTTACTAACCTACTGAAGGTTGACCATGCCTCAAAAGCTGTATTCTCATGGTGACTGCAGGGAAACTTGAGCACATTTTATGCAAAATTATTGAGCCCACTGTTTTCATGATCACTGTTCATTGTTCGTCCTGAGGGCACAAATACAAAGTGTCCTTTGACTGCCTCATCAGTGTGTCACCTGGCCGATTCACTGAGCTCTTGCTCTCTCTGTCTATATATGTCTCTCTCTGTGTGTGTGTGTGTGTGTGTGTGTGTGTGTGTGTGTTTCTTTCTCTTTCATCCTTTTCTACCTGGCCCTGATTGTGCCAACATTAAGGCAATAATCTGTTACCTCATTAATAGAGCTGTCCTTTTTCTTTCCAAACACTTCCTTATGTTACCTATGAAATCTAGCTGGGGCTGTGTGGTTTCTGATTCCCCCTGGCTTATTCTTTACTTTTCCTACTTTTCCAGGCTCAACAGGGAACTGCTGGATGAGAAAGAGCCTGAAGTCTTGCAGGACTCACTGGATAGATTTTATTCAACTCCTTGCGGGTATCTTGAACTGCCTGACTTATGCCAGCCCTACAGAAATGCCTTCTGTTCGTTGGAAGAAGAGCACTTTGGCTTGGCTCTTGACATGGACAGTGAGTTCCTTACTATGAAGGTGATAAGGCTCCACCTGGTCTTCCCGATAGGGGTGATATTCCTGTTCCAAGTGACCCTTCCTGACCCGAGAGATGTCATTGCTGCTGGCAGGACCTATGGATACATATAGGTTGTAATGCAACTGTAGTTTCAGTTGGAAGCCCAGATATGAAATGGGTCAGTGAGCATGGCTCTATTCCTAGTCTCCAGTCATGCCTGTGGCAACCTGAACCCACTCTCAGCACATTGGACCGAGGCAGATGTAAAAAATTCACAGAACTATGATTCGGACTCAACGTTTGTAGATTTCCTCCTTTATTCTAATTTCAGTGTCTTGCGACCATGAACGAGTTGGGAATTTGATGAGACAGGGCTGAATACAGCAGTTTTCCTCCTAGAAATCATCTGGGGCATTTTCTTTGAATTGATGGGAACAATAAGGCATAACTGTTTGCACAAACTTGGGATAAATGATTTTGGGATAACTGTCTACCAGAATAGGGACATTTGACCCTTGGTTCTGAGATGTAAATCACAGAATCTCTATCATGACCGGCTTTGAGGCCTCCTGCAGTGTATCTCTCACATTATCCTATTCTCATGCTGAGGAGCCTGTGGTCCCTGTGTGGGGATTAGAGAGTGGACTGTTATGGGTGTAGGTGAATTGGCTTATTTTGCCTGTCCCTGTCTGATTTTACTGCAGGAATTACAAAGGAAGAAGAGGAAGAAGACCAAGGCCCACCATGCCCCAGGTAACTCTGAGCAATTGACAACAGCTAATTCTGTGTTGACACCTGGAGACTCCTGGTTCGGGGAAAACAGAGCGGGCCGACATTATTGATTACATCTTTTCAACCAAGCCTGAATTATTCCTACTAACATTGCTATTGGTTTTTGTAGCATTACATATTTAGGTTCCCATTTCTTCCTCCCCTTATCATTTACTAACCTACTGTAGGTGGACCATACTTCAAAAGCTCTATTCTCATGGTGACTACATGGAAACTTGAGCACATTTGATGGAAAATTATTGATCACAGCCTTTTCATGATCACTGTATGCTGTGTGTCCTGAGGGCACTAACTCAGAGTGTCCTGTTACTCCCTCATCAGTGTGTCACCTGGACAACTCACCAAGCACTCTCTGTTTCTCTCTGTCTCTCTCTCTGCCTCTGTTCTCTGTCTGTCTTTCTCTTTCATCCTTTTCCGTTTGGCCCTGTTCTGTCCCAACATGAAGGCAATAATTTGTTACCTCATTCATGGATCTATCATTTTTCTTTCTTGACCACTTCCTTGTGCTACCCATGAAATCTAGTTGGGGCTCTGTTGTCTCTGATTTCTCCTGACTTATTCTTTACTTTTTCTACTTTTCCAGGCTCAGCAGAGAGCTGCTGGAGGTAGTAGAGCCTGAAGTCTTGCAGGACTCACTGGATAGATATTACTCGACTCCTTACAGTTATCTTGAGCTTCCCGATTCATGCCATCCCCAGGGAAGTTCCCTTTACTCATTGGAGGAACAACACATTGGCTTTTCTCTTGGCGTAGATGGTGAGTACCTTTCTCTGAAGCTGATAAGGATCCAATGAGTGTTCCGTATAGAGATCATATCCTGTTCCAAGTGGCCGTTACTGAGCTGAGAGATGTCACTGCTGCAGTGAGGACCTATAGGCACATGTAGGTTCAATGAAACTCTAGTTCCACCTGGAAGCCCAGACATGGGATGGGTCAGTGAGCATGGCTTTCTTCCTAGTCTGAGGCCATGCCTGTGGTGCTGATTCTACTCTCAAGACATTGGACCTGGGCAGATGTGACAAATTCAGAGAACTATGATTTTGACTCAAGGGTTTCCAGATTTCCTTTCTCACTCTAATTTCAGTGTCTAAAATCCTCACAACCATGAACAATCTGAGGATTTGATGAGACAGGGCTGAATATTGCAGTTTTTCTCCTAGAAATCACTTGAGGGTATTTGCTTTAAATTGATTGGAAAAATATGGCATAACCATTTGCACAAACTTGGGACAAATGATATTGGGATAACGATCTACCAGAAAAGGGACATTTTACCCTTAGTTTCTGGGACAAAAACCAAGGACTCTCTATCATGACCAGCCTTCAGGCCTTCTGAAATATATCTCCCACAGTGTCTTATTCTTATGCTGAGGAGCCTTAGGTCCCTGTGTAAGGATTAGACAGTGGATTGTTATGTGCGTAGGAGAATCAGCTTCATGTGTCTGAATTTATTGCAGAAATTGAAAAGTACCAAGAAGGGGAAGAAGATCAAAACCCACCATGCCCCAGGTAACTTTCAGCAATTGTGGACGCTGAATTCTTTCTTAATACCTGGAGACGACAGATCCAGGGGAAAGCAGTGTGTTTGGTTTCATGTTTACAACGAAAGCTGAATTACTCCTACTGACATTGCTGTTGCTTTTCATTGCAGTAGAGGTTTAGGTTTCCATTTCTTCCTCCCCTTATCATTGACTAACGTACCATAGGTTGACCATACCTCAAAAGCTGTACTCTCATGGCGACTGCATCGAATTTTAATCACATTTTATGGAAAACTATTAAACTCACTCTTCATAATCACTGTTTGCTGTGTGTCATCTGGGCACTAACTCAGAGTGTCCTTTTACTCCCTTATCAGTCTGTCACCTGGCCAGTTCACTCAGCTCGCGCGCTCTCACTCTCTCTCTCTCTCTCTCTCTCTGTCTTTCTCTTTCATTGTTTTCTACCTGGCCCTGTTCTATCCCAATATAAAGGCAACAATGGTTTACCTCATTAAAAAGATCTCTCCTTTTCCTTTTTTAACCACTTCCCTATGTGACCCCTGAAATCTAGTTGGGGCTCTGCGGTGTCTGATTTCCCCTGGCTGCTTCTTTAGTTTCATCTCCTTTTCCAGGCTCAACGGGGTGCTGATGGAAGCAGGAGAGCCTGAAGTCTTGCAGGACTCACTGAATGGATGTTATTGGACTCCTTCAAGTTACTTTCAACTACCTGACTCATTCCAGCACTACACAAGTGGCTTTTACTCACTTGAGGAACAGCACGTCAGCTTGGCCCTTGACGTGGGCAATGGGTTTTTTACTTTGACGATGATAAGGTTCCACCTGGGCTTCCAGATGGGAGTCCTATTCCCACACTAAGCAGCCCTTCCTAAGCTGAGAGATGTCATTGCCGCAGGCAGGACTTACAGGCACCTGTAGGTTTGAATGAAACTGTAGTTCCGTTTGGAATCCCAGACATAGGATAGGAAAGTGGGCAGTACTCTATTCCATTCTCAGACCATGCAGTGGCAACCTGTGCTCAGTCTGACGACACTGGACCCAAGTTAGGTGTGACACGTTCACATAACTGCAGCACATGCCGGGAGTGAATGTGAGATACTCTGATTTGAACCAGGTATCTCTGGGTAGCTACAAAGTTCCTCAGGGATTTCATTTTACGCGCATGTCTCTGAGCTTCTATGCCTGCTCAAGGTCAGTGTCATCTTTGTGTTTAAGTCATCCAAAGGTGTTACCCTGGTTTCAATGAACCTCCCCCAATTCTTTGTATCTTCAGTGTTGGTTTGTTTTAGCTGATCCATGTGTAACACAGGAGGGATCCTTGGCTGAGGATTGTATTTCAGAACCACTGACTGCTCTTGACAATTGTTAACCCACTAGGCACCTTTGGTTAGAGAAGCCACAGTCCTTCAGCCTCCAATTCCTATCAATACTTAGGAAGACCACAGCTAGATGGACAAACAGCGTGGAGAGCCCTTAGCCCGGCTCCTCTCAATTCCATCCTGTAAAGAACAGGAGCCAGGAGCCGCTGTCAGGAGACAGCATGTCACCCGGGACTCTGCCGGTGCAGAATATGAACAATGCCATGTTCTTGGAGAAAACGCTTAGCCTGAGTTTCATAGGAGGTAATCACCGGACAACTGCAGAATGTAGAACACTGAGCAGGACGACTGGCCTGTCTCCTTCACACAGTCCATGTCACCACGAATCTCACAACAAAAAGGAGAAGAGATATTTTGGGTTCAAAGAAAGTAAAAAGGGACTGTAGCTACATTTCTTTATTTTGAACCCCAAATATTTCCTCATCTTTTTGTTGTTGTCATTGATTGTGGTGACATGGACTCGTTTGTAGAGGACAGGTCAGCTGTCTGGCTCAATGATCTACATTCTGAAGTTGTCTGAAAATGTCTTCATGATTCAATTCAGCCTAAACGTTTTGCCAGGAACACTGCAGAGTCAATACTGTGACTTTCCAACCTCAGCCTGTCTATCTGCGGGCATAGAAGGTCTAGTTTGTCCATCACCATTATCATGATATCAGGACTGGTTACTTGGTTAAGGAGGGGTCTAGGAGATCTGTTGCTTTTAGAGACACCTTACTTATAATGAAGTATTTGGGGAAGTGGTTTTTAAAAGTATAAACGTCATGTATTCCAATCATCATCCTCTAAACACTTCATCGTTTATTAATCATCCCTGCCTGTGTCTATTATTATATCCATATCTCTACACTGGAAATTTTCTGTCTCAATTTTTACTCTGCCTCTGTTTTGGCTAGTGTCTGCTGTTGAAAAAAAAACCATTCTCTGCCTGAGTTTTAATTTTTGTCCAAAGTTATTTTACCCTATACAATTAAAAACTTTTGCCTATCGCTCTGGACTGTTGGATTGCTTTTTACATTCAGTGTTAGAATCTTTTATTATGCTGATTGGTTTTGGTGGGTTCTGATACAAATTAATAAAAAAATTTTCATTTCCCTGTTTATTTTCTTATCTCTTCCACATTGTAGACTATGTTTATCATATGTAGCAGAATATATTTACTACATTTCTTGATTCTAATTATTTTATTCTTTGTGAGCGTGTGTGTGTGTGTGTCTGTGTGTGTGTCTGTGTGTGCCTTTGGCATTTAGGAAGGGTTGCATAGCTCCTGTTTAATATTGCACTAAAAATGTTTTTGATAGTTTTCCCCCCTTTGAACTAGACACACTTCTAATATTTGTTTTATATGTTTTAAATTATGACTTTCAACCTCAAAGATTTCCATAAGACAGCAAATTACATATGCGTTATCTTTTTTCTACCTCCCTTACCTGCCACTTCTCTTTTTTTTTTCTTTGTATTTTTTAGTAGAGACAGGGTTTCACCGTGTTAGCCAGGATGGTCTCGATCTCCTGACCTTGTAATCAGCCCGCCTCAGCCACCCAAAGTGCTGGGATTACAAGTGTGAGCCACCGCGCCCGGCCTGCCACTTCTCATAATAGTATTTGAACCTAAACATACACCAGTGACATTCTGTGATTGTCATCTTGGCCCCACCTTGGTTTTTGGTTAGATCCACAATTAAATATATTAATACTCATGAGCTATTCAAAAGCGAATGTCACAGTCATCACTTGCTGAGTGGTACTCATCCTTAACAGAGTCCTCCTGAGGGAATCAGGTCTCGCTGAGCTTAGCATGTTTAATAATCTTTTCTCATGGTCTTGCATGGATCGCATGACTGGATATAAGGTACTCGCCCAAAATGATTTTTCTTGAGTTTTTAGGAGATACTGTCTTCCCTGGGGGACATACACGGTGTATGTTCTCATTGTGGGATTCAATTTTGTTCTACCAGGACCTCTGATTTCTGCCAGTTACTTCGTTCATGTGTTCTCTTCACCACGAGTCTCCAGAGGATGCTTCCTCTGTTCCTGCCTCCCCATCTCCCAGCAATTCTGCGTTTCCAAGATTGGCACCTCTGGTCCTCTGCACGGTGAAGCCCCTTCCTTTCAATTCCCCAGTAGCCAGTGCTCTAATCCACCAGGTCTCAGGCATGATCTGTTTCTCCACACGCTCTTTCTGAGGGTGGTTTTACCTGTGTTCTGTCATGAACAGGCGCGCCCTGCTGTTCTGGCCTCGATTTGCATAGTGTCTCCTGCTCCCTCTGCAGTTGTGTGGCTCTCAGACCCAGCTAAAGACAATCTCCTGAGGGCCACAGTGTTCCCTAGCCCAGGTGTTTAGGGCCAGGGTTACGGGTGGGAGTTTTGACTCTCTAACCCCTAGGGCTTTGACGTGTCCGTTGAGAAATTCAGCGGTCATCATCCTAGGTGGACTTGCTCTCTCCTATCCTCCTACTTCTGCTATGCTTTTCTAGTATTATAGTTTATATTTAGTTGCATAATCCATTTTGAGTTAGTTTTTGAGTGAGTATTGAGGTTCGGGTGAATTTTTTTCCTTTGGGGATATGCATGTCCAGTTGTTTCTACAAAATTTGTTGACAAGGGAGCGCCTTCTCCACTGACTCATATCTGGAGGTTTGTCAATCCATTGGCTGGTTGAGACTGGTGAGAGGACTGTCCTGGTGTTTGGACAGAGAGACAGGGCATGAAGTCGGGTGGTTCTTAAGGGAAATATTAAGGAAGGCCCATTGTTGTATGAGGCATAGGAAAGCCCCAAGCACAACTGGGGTGCCATCTACCAGCATGTTGCAGCACACTCATCTCTGCTCTCTCCACCTCTCCTGTTGCAAAAGCTTGGGTGTGCATAGACACTGGGGTCGAATGGTGTCTTTGGGCACTTTTGAGCATTGACAGCGAAGCTCCAGCATCAAATCTTAGAATATCAAGCAGCTGGGTGGATCGCCTGAGGTTAGGGGTTCACAACCAGCCTGACTAGCATGGTGAAACCCCGTCTCTACTAAATCCAAAACAAATTAGCCAGGCATGGCGGCGCATGCCTGTAATGTGAGCTACTGGGGAGGCTGAGACAGGAGAATCGCTTGTGTACCTGGGAGGCGGAGGTTGCAATGAGCTGAGATCACACAATTGCACTCCAGCCTGGGCAGGAGAGCAAAACTCCATCCCCCAAAAAATAAAGAAATAAAAATAAAAGAATATCAAGCAGCCAAAGAAGCAGGAAAACATGACACATAATGAAGAATCTAATGATCTAGTTGAAATTGAGACACATGTTGGAAATAGAAGAAAAGGACATTAAAAACAGTATAATTTTATTTTAATTAAGTGGAGAGGTTGAAGATTTTTTAAATATCAAATTCTCTAGATAAAAACTATGATTTACAGTCTGAAATGGAGGAAGGCACTGGATTAAACATTGCGGAAGGGAAGGTTATTGAACTAGAAGGAATAGAAGTTGAAACTAACATAAATGAAACACACAGTCACAAATGACTTGAAAACATAAAAAGACCATCAGTATAAAAACTTTAAACACCCTCTAGAGGGCTAAATGGAATCCCTGAAGGGCGTGTAGTGGAGAAGAGAGACAAAGATATTTAAAACATTGGATGGAAGATTTAGAAGCTCCATGGAAAGCATAAACTTCCAATATTACAGAAATACAAATATTCTAAGAACAAGAAACATGAAGAAAAGTTCACCAAGGAACACCTGAATCAAATCCATCAAAACCAGTGATCAAAAGGAAATCCTAAAAGTAATCAAAGGTGAAAGAACATGTTCCATACAGAGCACTGCCTAGAAGGATGGCATAAGATTTCTCATAGGAAACTTGACAAACAAGAAGTTTGCAATAAAGCACTTAGAGAAACTGTCGCCTACAATTCTACACCTGGTCAAATGATCTTTCAAATATAAACATGAGATAAAATATTTTTGAATAGAAAACAAAACGATCTCAATTTGCAGATGGTGTGATCCTATGGATAGAAAATCCCGGGCGCGGTGGCTCAAGCCTGTAATCCCAGCACTTTGGGAGGCCGAGACGGGCGGATCACGAGGTCAGGAGATCGAGACCATCCTGGGTAACACAGTGAAACCCCGTCTCTACTAAAAAAAAAAATACAAAAACTTAACCGGGCGAGGTGGCAGGCGCCTGTAGTCCCAGCTACTCGGAAGGCTGAGGCAGGAGAATGGCGTGAACCCGGGAGGCGCAGCTTGCAGTGAGCTGAGATCCGGCCACTGCACTCCAGCCTGGGTGACAGAGGGAGACTCCGTCTCAAAAAAAAAAAAAAAAAAAAAAGAAAATCCCAAATAATAATTACAAAGGCAAACACACATACATGCTCACAGACCACACACACACAAACACACACACACACACACCCCCACAGAGTTAATAAGTGAATTTAGCAAACATTCAGCAAACAATCCATTGTGTTAGCAATGAACAATCTGAGAAGAAAATTGACACAATGATTTCATTTATATTAGCATCTATAAGAATAATACACCTGGGAATAAGTTTGTTCAAGAAGGTGCAGTAATTGTACACAGACAACTCCTGAACATTGCTCAAGGTCACGTGGTCCTGCACCCATGGGCAAAGTGATGGTCTGGGCTCAAAACGCAGCCCCGCCCGTCCACACCAACCCATGAAATTGGTAGGAAACCTGACAGCCAAGTGGCGGATTGGCTTTTTTTCTCACTCTTCTTTTTCCTGGTGACCTTCCGTCACCAGGAAGCCAGCTTCCTGGGAAAAAAAGCAAAGTAAGGGAGGAGATTCCCAAACAACCTCCCTCCTTGGGGTCCAGGCAGCGTAGGTCTAGGTCCCCCTAATAACGGAGGTCTCCCCTGAGTGAGCGATGTGAGCACACGAGCAGACCTGCTGGCAAAAGGGGACCAGCCTGGAATACCAGCACTTCGGGAGGCTGAGGCAGGAGGATCACTTGGGCACAGGAATTTGAGACCAGCCTGGGCAACATAGAGACTTTTTTTGTAGAGACCCAGTCTCTACAAAAAAATTAAAAAATAAAAAAAAATTAGCTGGACTTGGTTGAGCCTGGGAGGTCGAGGCTGCAGTGAGCCATGATCCTGCCACTGCACTCCAGCCTGGGTGACGGAGGAAACCAAAATGAAAATCAAAAACAAGGACAGAAGATGCAGAGAAGATCCAGCACCATGCTAACCTCAGAGGAGGCGGCACGGGTTGGTGACCATCCCCTGGAGTTTTTTTCTTAAAGACCCTCATTCAGTCCAGGCACGGTGGATCACGCCTATAATCCCAGAGCTTTGGGAGGCCGAGGCTGGTTACCTGGCTTTGGGGTGATTGAATCCCTGCAGCACTGGGGGGCTGGAGTATCCTCAAGGGCAGCCTCTCTTTCAGCCCATTAGCAGCTCATGCATTTTGCTCTTAGATGACTCAGAGGCAGGAAATCAAATCATCTCACTAAAGTCACTAAAAAACTGTCGTTAAACTAGTAAAGATGCTGTGCTTTCGATCAGAGGACAGTGCGTTTCTTCATTCACTGAACCCTGGCTGAGCCCTCCTGCTGTGGGAGGCTGCCCCTACAAGAAACGGAGCTCCTGCCCCCAGGTTCCCCTGAGTAGCTGAGGGACGAGGACAGGAAACCAGGCCTGCAGAGTGGAGGGTTCTGCTGAGAGCAGAGTCATCACCACAGCCCGTCCCCAGGGAGCCCCCCATGGAGGCTGCATAAGCAAACATGGCCCATGGCAGGCAGGATGTCCTCACACAGGCTTGAAGAAGGGGCTGGGGGCTGGGATGCCTGTGCCTTTAACAGGGCGTGTAGCCCACCCCACACCTCACTCTCTTGGGTCTAGCTGCTGAGCTAACTTCTAGAATTCCAGAATCACAAACTCAACTTGGTTTGGAAACACTGCAGCGACTCAGTCACTGGTTCCATGAACTTGGGGTGGGGTCCGAGAATCTGCATTTCTCACAAGTCCCAGATAACGCTGATGCTGGAATCCCAGGGACCATGCTTTGAAGACCCCTGGTCTGGAGGCGAGGTCGAGGGCCAGGAGTCTAAGCAGGCCAGAGCCAGCCTGCTGCCTATTTTTGTAAATCAAGTTTTGTTGGAACACCTCCATGCCCGTTTGTTTACAAATCCTCTCAGGCTGCTTCTGAGGTCCAAGGCCAGGGCTGAGGAGCTGCAACAGAGACTGCTTGGCTGGCAAAGCCTAAATTATTTACTATCTGGTCCTTTACAGAAAGAGTCTGTGGGCACCTGCTCTACGCCATCCTCTCTCCCAGGTTCTGGGGACACCTCGCCACTCCTCCCTTCCACCTCACCCTCAGCTGCCACTGCTGCTTCCCAGACCCCTGAGAAAACACAAGCAACCAAAAGTCACCTTCCCCACACAGGGACACGATCTATGTTCAAAGGCACCTTCCTTCCTGTGGCTACCCAGTGAACCGGCCCCACAGTGTCCATGGCCACGTGGCCACTCCCAGCCCCACAGCCACTCAAGGGCATCCCAAGCCCATTCCTCCTTCTTCAGGAGGCACTGCCAGCTGCACCCAATGAGTTATTATTTCTCTCATCTCCAAATAAAACAAAAAGCACAGTTGCTTTTTTTGTGTGAGACAGAGTCTCACTCTGTCGCCTAGGCTGGAATATAGTGGCGCAATCTCGGCTCACTGCAACCTCCGCCTCCTGGCTTCAAGTGATTCTCATGCCTCAGCCTCCTGAGTACCTGAGATTACAGAAGTGTACCACCACACCTGGCTAATTTTTGTATTTTTAGTAGAGATAGGGTTTCACCATGTTGGCCAGGCTGGTCTAGAACTCCTGACCTCAAGTGACCCGCCCGCCTCGGCCCCCCTAAATGCTGGGATTACAGGTGTGAGCCACCTCACTCGGCCTAAAAAGCACAATATCTTTGACCCACTTTCTTCTCCCCTTTTTCTCACCTTCCATTCACAAGAAAATTCCTCAAAATATTTCCTTCACTTGTCTGCGATTCCTCTCCTTCTTCCGGCTCATAAACCGACTCCAATCAGCCTCTGCCCTCACCACTCCGTGGGAGCTGCACTTGCCAAGGTCGCGGTCACCTATTTTTTGCTAGGTTAAGCAGTGCCCATTGTATCAGGGCGACAGAGGTGCTGCCTGCAGTTTCCCCAGTATGTTAAAACATATGTCCAGAAAATGATTTATACAAGAATGTCCATGGCACTTTAATTCATAATAGGAAAAACTGGAAACATTCAAGCATCTGTCAATACAACAATGGATCAATAAACTGTAATACAGTCATTCCATGGAAAGCCTAAGGGAACGAACTGTTGACACACAAAACAACATGGAAGAATCTCAAAAACATTTTGAATGCAATAGGAGCCATACACAAAAGAGTGTGAGAAAAGAGATGAATAATCATGGTCTGAAGAAATGCAGAGCAGAGAGCCCAGAGGCAAAGACTCACAGGACAGCGGGTCGGTCCCAGGCTGTGGATCCTAATTAAGAAACTCCTGCTGGATTTTGCCCAGCTCCATTTCCAAACTATTTTGGGTCAGTGACTTCTTTATCCCTTCCTTATTCCCTCATTTTGAACTAGAATCACTGTAGTTGTTATTCCATGTCTGTCCCGTCATTTCACATTAGGGGCAGATAAGCTGTTCATTCAGTTTCACAGGTCGACGGAGGAAAGGGAATTATGTCAAGGATCTGTACTTCATGGACACCCTCAGAAGCCTCATCCACACCTGGTGTGGATGTTTTAAATGGGATTTTAAACTTTTCATCTGATGTGGTCTATATGACATTTTTCATGTTGAACTAATGCTTTAATGACGTGAGATTGGGAAACCTTAGGGGAGAGGGTGAATGCATTTTGCAATTGGGGGAATGTGAATACTGTGGTAGATGGAATTTCTGAAATGGTCCCCCAACATGCCACACCCTTGTCTCCAATGCCCGTTAAAGTGATGAGACACCATTCCTGTGATTATGTTGTTATATGCCAGTTATATGACTTTAAGCTGGTGAGGTTACCTGCATGCACTGGATCTAATCACATCACTCCATACAAGACAACTTTCTGGGGCTGGTTGGAGAAGAAGTCAGAGATGGTAGGAGCTTGAGAAAGATGCATGAGTTATTATTGGTTGATGATGGAAAGACAGGGAAGGAGGAAAGCAGGTGGCCTCTGGAGTCAGACTGTCTCCTGGACGACAGTCAGCAAAGACAAAGGGCCCTCAGTCCCCCACAAACAAGAATAGAAACTCTTTCAATATCTGTAGTGAACTTTGAAACAAATTGCTTGAGCTCTAGAAAAAAACACAGCCAGCCCATTCCTGGATTTTAGCCTCACATGACTCTGATCAGAGAACCCGGCCACTTCATTCCAGACTTCTGTGGTTTCAAACCACTGATTTGTGGTAATGTGATCATTGGCAGCAAGAGAAAACTAGTACAGGTGTCTGTCTCTCCTCTTGAATTTCAATTTCAGATACATGGATGCTAACCCCTCTAACAGAAAAAAAATCAACCAACCAATCAATCAATGAAAAAAAATATTGCCCTCACCTTTATGTGGCTGTTCCAGAGCCCTTGCCACCTGAAGAAGACAATGAGGGATATTTCAGGCACGTGAGGAGTGCGGCTTTACTGTTATCAATCACATTTCTGAAAGAATAAAAATGGCTGAGGTCAAGCCGTGGCTCATGTCTGTAATTGTAGCACTTTGGGAGGCCAAGGCAGGTGGATCACTTGAAGTCAAGAGTTAGAGACCAACAGGGCCAACATGGAGAAAGCTTGTCTCTACTAAAAACACAAAAATTAGCCAGGCATGGTGGCGGGCGCCTATTATTCCAGCTACTCAGGAGGCTGAGGCAGGAGAATCACTTGAACGTAGGAGGTGGAGGTTGCAGTGAGCTGAGATCACGCCATTGCATTCCAGCCCGAGGAATAGAGCAAAAACTCCACCTCAAAAATAAATAAATTAATTAATAAAGATGGTTCATTACTTAACTCCACATATTATTATGTGAAAATGTATCATCTCGATTTTAATAGCAGATTTTTTTAAATTGCTTTTCTTTTGCTCACCAGACAAGGTCTGGTAGCAAATACCGGTCACCAACACAGATGAACCAATTCAAGGAGAGCCATAAACAGGACTACTGTTATGTTTCCCAAAAAAACATCCCTAGAATGCAATCTCTTCTCTACTTGTCACAAAATGAACACAATAGTCCACTATATAAAGTCCCAAACACATGAAAATGTAAATACAATGAAGTCTGCTTTCCAAATATTCATTCTATTCAGACCCAGTCATGGGGACCAGGGATTAGGAAATGACTACAAAGAGGTTCAAGGGAATTTGGGGAAGCGACAAAATGTGCTGAAGTAGAAACTCTGCCGATGGCCGCACAATTCCATAAATCAGCTGAAATCACTGAGTCATACGTTGACAACGGGTGACTTTTATAACAAGTCATTCTTTAAACGAACTTTTGGGTTTCTAGTCCAACATGGAAAGAGCTAGGCAGTCATCACTCGTCCTCACAGCTAGCAAAAGGTTGAAGGAACTGAAAGTCAACCCTTTTAGGATGGACCAGAGAATTGAAGTCACAGGGAAAACTGCCACCCTAAAAATGAGACAGACAGGCAAACACACAAGGAGTCAGAGCTCACAGGAAGAGAAGTTACTGGGGACAGCAAGTGGGAGAAGAACTTAAATGGTATTGACAGATCACTAGAAGCTGAGGGTGGCCTGGTTAGCGCATTAAAAACTCCTTGAGAACCAGACTAAGGGGGAATCTCACATATTTCCAAGTTTTACTACAATGATCTCAACCAGGTTCTCAAGATGAAGTTCTGAAAACCCCCCTGAGGTTTGGCACTACCAACTTCAGGACTTACATTAAGCTACAGTAACCTAAATAGTGAGAAGCTGGTGAAAAGAGAAAACACACACACACAAATAGATCCATGGAAAAGAATACAGAGCCCAGAAAGAGGCCTACCTACAGTCCATTGATCTTCCATGAAGGTTTAGAGACAACTTAAAGCAGGGAACTTACCCTTTCCAACTAGTGGTGCTACAACAGCTGGATAACCACATGCAAAAAATATATAAATAAATCCCGGTGTGCATGTTATACACTTTATAAAATAAATCTCACATGTAAATGTAAGGTGCAAAACCATAAGAATCCTAGGAGATAACATCGGAGAAAGTCTCAGGGATCTTGGGTTCGATGATGGCTTCTTAGATACAAAACCAAAAGCACAATCTACTAATGAAAAAAAATTAAGTGGAGCCTCGTTCAAATTAAAAACTTCTGCTCTGTGAAAGACACTGTTAAGAGAATGGAAAAAGCAAGTCACAGACTGGCAGAAAATATTTACAAAATAATCTGATGGAAAAACTGCTGTCCAAAATATATGAAGAATTCTGAGAACTAAACAACACAAAGGAAGAAAAAAAAAGAAAAAAAGAAAAAAAGTAGGTGAAAGATCTGTACACCTCATTAATAAGATATACAGATGGCAAATAAGTATATGAAAAAGATGCTCAAAATCATTTGGCGTTAGGGAATTGCACACTAAAACAACAATGAGATATCAGTGGAAACCTATTAGAATGGCTAAAATGCAAAAAGGTGAACACACCAAATGCTCTCAAAGATGAGGAGCAACCAGAACTCTCCATAGCTAGTAGAAATGAAAGGGTACAGTCACTCTGGAAAACTTAAGTTCACTCAGAATCCTGCACATAAGTAGTTACAGCAATTTTATTCATAATTGCCAAAAGTTGGAAGTACGCAAGACGTCTTTCACCAAGTGAATGAATAAGCAAACTGTGTTGTAGCCCCACAACGAAATCTGATTCAGTGATTCTAAAAAGCAAGCTATGAAGTCATAAAAAGACATGCAGGAACTTAAAATACATAATGCTAGAAAGAAGTTAGTCTGGAAACCTACATACTGTACGATTCCAACTCTAGGACATTCTTGGAAAGTCAAAAAGAGAGAAGTAGTAAAATGATGAGTGGTTGTCAGGACTGGAAGAGAGGAGGACGCACGAAATGGTGAAGCACAGGGAATTTTCAGAAACTATTTTGCATGACACTGTATTGGGGATTTAGGAACTACGTAATTGCCAAAACCCATAATCTGTGAAACTGAAAGAATGAACTCTTGTGTAAACTATAGCCTTTAGTTGATAATGATGTATCAATAGTGGTTCATCAATTGGAAAGAATGGACCACATTAATACAACATACTTATAGGGGAAATTGTGTGCTGGAGGACAGGGGAGCCTAGGAGAACTCGCTGTACTATCCACTCCATTTTTCTGGGAACCTACAACTATTCTAAAAAATGATGTCTATTGGCTGGGCGCGGTGGCTCAACCCTGTAATCCCAGCACTTTGGGAGGCCCAGGTGGGCGGATCACGAGGTCAGGAGATCGAGACCATCCTGGCTAACACGGTGAAATGCCGTCTCTACTAAAAAATACCAAAAAACCACCCAGGCGAGGTGGCGGACGCCTGTAGTCCCAGCTACTCGGGATGCTGAGACAGGAGAATGGCCTAAACCCGTGAGGCGGAGCTTGCAGTGAGCCGAGATCCGGCCACTGCACTCCAGCCTGGGCAACAGAGCGAAACTCTGTCTCAAAAATAATAATAATAATAATAATAATGTCTATTAATTTTTTAAAATTAGGTTGCAGCAGCCCCATATCAAGGTTTTGGTGGCATCCTGTTAGTGTTAGTTAGTACCTGTGTGGTTAGTACTTGGCATTGAAGTGCACCAACCTGGAGTCAGAGCAGTTGGAGATTTCCAGGCCTGTGCCATTTACCTCGAATCCTGGGGTGCCCCGGAAAACAGCAGGTCAGTTAGGGAGAAGCAGCCTCAGCAATCTAGACAGTGCAGGTTTGTTGGTAAGGACAGTTACAAACCATCTGGGTGGGCAGACCTTGGTGAAAAGACTAGAAAAACACTGAGACTCAGCAGCTGCCCCAGTGGAACCCACAAATCAAAGGAGGCCGCTGCGAGGAGCTAAGGGCTACTGGATGAGCTCCCTGCCTGCAACACAGAAGCAGCTCCAGAGATTCTGGTAAATAATGTGGGTTTCATACAGTTGTGATCGACTCAAAACAGTAGGGAGAACACAAAAAAGAAAAAAAAGGAGAGAGCATGAGAGAGAAAGAAAAAGAAAAGAAAAAAGGAAGAAAGGAAAGGGAGGGAGGGAGAAAGGAAGGGATGGAGGGACGAGGGTGGGAAGGAAAGAATAAGAGAGAGAAAGAGAGTTGGAGGGACGTTAGGAGGAAGGAAGGATATGAAGGAAGCAGGAGGCCAAGGGAGGGAGGGAAGAAAGGGAGGGAGGGAGGGAACAAATATACATGAAGATGAGAACATCGGGGGAACTTACACCACCAATATTTTCCATTAACAGGAACACGCTAACTAGTGATTAGAGAAAGACGCACTACTGTAAAATCATATACTGTTTCCATGGGGTACAACCCCTTCCTCCTCCTCTGAAACACATTCTGTCTCTCGCCCACTGTGCCAGAGACTCCAGAATCTACCTGGCTGCATGGGGGCCTCAGTCCCTGGGTCTGATGTCATCCATTTGCCTTTCTCACTGGACTTCTCTCCTTGCACTTGCTCCCACTCCCCCAGGACCTGGTGGGCGGCCACGTGAGAAGGACACAAACAAATCATGCCCTTTCTTTCTCCCCTTCTCAATGCCTGCAGTAGTGGGTTCTGTGGGGTAGTGGCCTGAGATTTATTCATTATGGGGCCTCTAGCCCAGAGCAGGGCCTGCTACCTAATAGTCACCCCATGAAAGCTCAGGGAAAAAAGGCATCCACC